ACTCCAAGATATTTCTCCTGAGCAAATGGAAGAATGTAGTTGCCCTTAACTAAAATGGGAGAAATACTGAAAAGCAGGAGTAAGGAAGAGATCAGGACCTTAATTCTGGACATGCTGAATTTAAGATATCTATTATATATTTCAGTGGAGCTGTTGAATAGGCAACTGGAAATAAGAGTCTGGAGTTTAGGGCAGCCTGGGTGGCTCAGTGGTTTAGCGCTGCCTTCAGCCTAGGGCCTGATCCTGGAGTCCTGGGATCAAGTCCCACGTTGGGCTCCCTGCATGGAGCCTGCTTCTCCCTCTGCCTGTATCTCTGCCTCTCTCTGTGTGTGTCTCTCATGAATAAATAAATAAAATCTTTTTAAAAATAAAAAAAAAAGAATCTGGAGTTTAGGAGTCAAGTCCAGGCTGGAGAGAAAGAACTGAGAGTCGTCAGTATGTAGATGATATTTAAGGCCAGGAATCTGGATGAGCTTACTAAGGGAGTATAGACAAAAAAGAAAAGGTCTAAGAACTGAGTCCAAATGCTTTTTGATTATTTAAACTACAAACCATTATATCTCCTGCTTTCCCTTTGTTTATAGGGCTCACTAAGAGAAACTAATCAGATAAAATAAATTCATGATGATTATTATCTATTATTCCTTCAGATAGCTATAAATCAACTGGTGATTTTTCTTGGGTCTTCAGATTTCAAAATTAAAGTAAATAAATCTGTTATCTCTCTCTCTCTCTTTTAAATGACATTTCATTTTTAAGAGAGAGAGAGAGAGAGAGAGAGCATATAGGGGAGGGATAGAGGGAGAGGGAGAATCTTCAAGCAGACTCCCACTAAATGTGCAGCCCAACATGAGACTCTATCTCATGACCTGTAAGATCATGACCTGAACCAAGAGTCAGATGCTTAACCAACTGAGCTACCCAGACACCTCTGCCAATGACATTTTAAACAAGGTTGCTAACATTTGTCTGCCTTCTGAGAGATCTCCCAAATAATCACTTATAACTAATCCATAGCAACTATTTCTCAGCAATCCTAGGATGAATGACAGTATATTAGACAAGACTGAATAGACCACAGCTTTAAGTAGTTTTGTCCTCTTCTCTTTTAGTTTGGCTTTCAACCCACTCATCATTAAATACATACTTCTGGTTATCTGACTTCAGGATTTTTTCAGAAAAGAAGAAAAATCATTATAATTCTCTGCCATCAGTTATCATCTTTTCCTAATACTGTAGAGGAGGAAGGGAGGCAGTTGGGAGGCTAGCAGGATAGTAGGATATTTTATTTTGTTTCTATATTTTTGTTTTTAAAGACTTTATTTATTCATAGACAGAGAGAGAGAGAGAGGTTGAGACACAGGCAGAGGGAGATGCAGGCTTCATGCAGGAAGCCCGATGTGGAACTCTATCCAAAGGCAGATGCTCAACCACTGAGCCACCCAGGTATCCCTATATTTTTACTTTTTATTAAAATGGAAAGAATGCCTTCTTGTCTTGTATCATCTTGTACTTATGATTTGTACATCACTTAAAATTTCTTGATCATTTCCCTATGCAATTCTGCTAGTAGTTTCATTAACATGGGCCAATTTCCATTTAAGGCTCTTTTATACTTTGAGCAGCTGTACAATTCTGTATTAAGCTAACTTCTCCTCTTCTTGGCATTCCTGTGTATTTGTTTTAGTTTTTCCTGTTCACAGAACTATGAGTTAAAAAAATCTGAATTTTTAATTCATGAATTTCATGAAAATGTCAACTCTCCATCAGCAGTCTACCACACTTGGGGCCTTGGTAGGCACTGAAACTACTTTGTAAACTACGATCACTCAGGCCCTAGAAATCCAACTGCTCTGGGAGAGTTGATAAGAGGGTTGTAGGAATGTAACAGAAATAATTTAAACATAGAAATCAGGACTATTTCTTCTTTCAAAGATTGCCAAGCTCCATCCTAATGTCATCATGTTCTAGCCACCAAGGAACATTTTCAGTTTTGATGTAAGCAACTCATTGCTTCAACAATTTGCTTTAAAAATGCTTTGTAACAAATATTTATAAGACAGAGTCATATATGGAAATGAAAACAGACCAGAAATACAACTGAAACACACTTGGCCTAATACCTTTTGACAAGTATTATCAACCAATTAACTATCCATTCTACCAACTATGTCCACTGCTAAAGTTTCATTTCATTCTTTCATGCTGCAAGCTTTCATGCCATTGGCAAAGAGTTCACAGAATAAATTATCATTCCAATAACCAGAATAAGGACAACAATAACAAAAGGTATAGGCCCCTATTTACACGTAAGGGAACAAACTTCTCTCCACATATCCATATCCTTAGGGATGGTCTTAAACTGAAACAAGGAAAATCAATCAGGGACATTTTATAAAAGGCTGTAACTTTTAGTAATGATTGAAGCTTCTTTAAAATTCTTAAGATAAATAACGTATGTTATTCAATAGATCTCTCTTATTCACAATATTGACTAGATCTCCACTACCAGAACTTGTGTGTGTGTGTGTGTGTGTGTGTGTGTGTGTGTGTGTGTGTGTGAGAGAGAGAGAGAGAGAGAGAGAGAGAGAGAGAGAGAGAATGCATCTGTGAGCATGGGATTGGTGGGGACAGAGGGAAAGAAAGAGAGATAATTTTAAGGAGGCTCCATACACAGCACAGAGCCTGACGCAAGGCTGGACCTCATGACCCCAAGATCATGACCTCAGTCAAAATCAAGAGTTGGACACTTAACCGATTGAGCCTCCCTGACACACCCCTCTACTATCAGAACTCAAACTGAACCTCTAGTTCTAGCCATAATGGAGTAGCAGGTATTGGTCTTACCTTAAATAATAAAACCAGACAAAACATATAAAACAACTGTTTTCAGATACTGGACAGCAGGTAAGGTCAATTTCATCAGAAATATAAAGGCTCTAAATATATATGCACCTAGTAACAGAGCTTTAAAAAGCAACTACTAAAAGAATGGAAAGGAGAAACAGACAAATCTATAAATATAAGTGAAGATTTCAGTATTTCCCCATGAGCAACTGATAAAACAAGTAGACTAAAAAACAGTAAAGATATGAGGCCTAAATATACTATTAACCAACTTGACCTAATTGTCATTTATAAAACACTACACCCAACACTTCAGCAAAATATATATATATTTTCAAGAATAATTCTTTTTAAGGGAACCAACTGATCCACCCAGGGGTCCCTCAAACAACACATTTCTAAATAAATCATAAGGGAAATTGGGCAATATTTTTAACTGATTGAAATAATACCACTTAAATTTGTGGCTTGCAGTTAAAAGGGAAATGTAAAGCTTTGAATGATATTAGAAAAGATGAAAAGTCTCAGGTCATTGACCTCAGCTTCACCTTCAGGAGCTAGAAAAATAAGAGTAAACGGAAAAACTTCTTCCTCTATTCATAACACTTCTAACACTAGCAGGACTTAACTCACAGGTTGAGGACTCAGCCTAGGACTATCCCCCTCTTCAGACTCCAGTCACAAGTTTGAACCTCCTCTTGTCACCAAACTGGCTATAAAGCAGGAGCTCCCACAACTTCCTTCTTGGGTCTTATAATTTGCTAGAATGGCTCACAGAACTCAGGCAAGTGCTTTGCTTGCTATTATCAGTTTTTATATAGGATATAACGCAGAGAAAGCCAAATGAAAGAAATGCATAGAGCAAAGTATGTGGGAAGGAGAGCAGAGTTCCCATGCTTTCTCTGGGTGCATCATCTTCCCAAGATCTCAATGTATTCACAACCAGAAAGCTCTCCAAACCAATTGTTCAGGGTTTTCATGGAGGTTCCATGATATAGACACGATCGATTAAATCATTGGCCACTGGTGATGAACTCTATCTCTAGCCCTTCTCCTCTTCCAAGAGGTCAGAGCTGAAAATTCTAATCCTCCTTCACACAGACAGTTCCTCTGGGAACCAGCTCCCTTCCTCTAAGAGTCACACCTCATTAACATAAACTCAGGTGTAGCTGAAAGGGGCTTCATTATCATAAACTTAGGTATGGTGGCACCTGGCTGGTTCAATCCATAGAGCATGAGACTCCTAATCTTGGAGTTATAAATTTGAGCTCCTACATTAGGTGTAGAGATTACTTAAAAATAAATAAGTAAATAAATAAACTCAAGTATGGTTGTAAGGAACTTATTAGGAATAACAAAAGATGCTCTTCTCATCCCCATTAGTTAGGAGATTATAAGGGTTTTGGGAACTATGTGCCAGGAACAGGTGATGAAGACCAAATATACATATTTCTTGTATCACAATGTCACAATTGAACAGAGGAAAAAAAAACAACAACAAAGATCAATAAATCATAAATCAATAGAATAGGAAAAAACAATAGAAATAATCAATGAAACCCAAAGCTAGTTATTTGAAAAAAATATTAAAATTGATAAACCTATATATAGCTAGTTACCAAGAAAAAAAAGAAAACACAAATCACCAATACAAGAAATGATAAAGATGACATCACCATAGATCTTCCCAACTGTAAAATAACCACAGAAAAATGATAATCCACATTATGCCAAAAAAATCAGCAACTTTGATGAAATGAACAAATCCTTTGAAAAAGCCAAATTACCAAAACTGATATAAAGAGAAATAACAGATGTGGATATCTCCATATTTATTAAATAAATTTAAGGAAATTGAATTTGTACATTACAATATTTCCACAAAGAAAATTCCAGGCCTCATTGGCTTCTGTGGAGATTTCTAACAAACATTTAAGGAGAATATAAGATCAGTCCTACACAAATTCTTTCAGAAACAGGATGAGGGAACACTTCCTAACTCATTTATAAAGCAACTCATTTATAAAACCAAAGACAATATAAGAAAAAAAAATGGACTAAAATCCTTCATTAACGTAAGTGCAGGGACACCTGGGTGGCTCAGCGGTTGAGCGGCTGCCTTTGGCTCAGGGTATGATCCCGTGGGTCCGGGTTAGAGTCCTGCATCGGGGTCCTTGCAGGGAGCCTGCTTCTTCCTCTGCCTGTGTCTCTGTGTCTCTCATGAATAAATAAATAAAATCTTTAAAAAAAAAAACACATAAATGCCAAAATACATTATAAAACATTAACCAATCAAATCCAATGCAAAACATAAAAAGGATCAAGTGAAATTTAATCCTAGGAATGTAGGATTGATTTAACATTCAAATTATCAGTATAGTTCACATTAACAGAATAAAGGAGGAAAATCATATGAACATCTCAGTTGATGTGGGGAAAATCGTTTAACAAAATTTAACATCTGTTCATGGTAAGGACACTGAGCAAAGAGAAACAGAAGGAACCTTCCTCAATGTTATAAAGGTCATCTACATAATATCTACAACTCACATCATACTTAATGGGAAAAAAAGGAATGTTTTCTCTCTACTATAGGAAAAAAGTCATGGATGTCCACTCTCACTACTTCTGTTCAACATTATCACATGTCCTAGTCAGTACAAGTCAAGAAAAAGTAATAAAAGGCATAAACATTGGGAAGGAAGAAGTAAAACTATTTTTATCTGCAGATGTTATGATTACTTATGTGGGAAATCCTAAGGAACATGCAAAAAAGGAAGGAAGAGGGATCCCTGGGTGGCGCAGCGGTTTGGCGCCTGCCTTTGGCCCAGGGCGCGATCCTGGAGACCCGGAATCAAATCCCACATCAGGCTCCCGGTACATGGAGCCTGCTTCTCCCTCTGCCTGTGTCTCTGCCTCTCTCTCTCTGTGACTATCATAAATAAATAAATAAAAAGAAAATTGGGTTGTCTTTAAAAAAAAAAAAAGGAAGGAAGAAAGGAATGAAAAAACAAGGGAAGAAAACCTACTAGAACCAATAAGTGAATTTTTGCAAAGTCTCAGAATACAAAATCAATATGGAAAAACAAATTGTACTTCTGTGTATTAGCAAAACTAGCTGGAAGATGATATTAAAAAACAATACCATTTATAATGCATAAAAAAACAAAACATATAGAAATAAATTTAATGACTACTATATGACTGCTACAAAATATTATAGACAGAAGTTAAAGAAGATCTAAATAAATAGGGAATTTACACCATGCTCATGTATTGGGAGACTTAATATTATCAAGATACCAATTTTCCTCAAATTGATGTAGACATTTAACACAACCCCAATTAAAATCCAAGTAGGCATTTTTGAGAAATTGAATCCTTTGATACTGATGTAGGATCAACAAATATATAAATGCAATAGGTAAAAGGCAGACATACCGGTTGAATCTACCACAAGGATCAACTTTTCAGTTCCTTGGAGGAGATTAGTTGCTAAAAGTAACAGGAATTCTGTTAGAAAGGTATATTATGTATAAAAACCTCAGGTATGAGTTCCAATTAGCCTTAAAATGAGATGAAAAGAGCCTACAATATTGTAATAAAGAAATTATGTTTTCCCTTGTTCTTCATGCTTATTTAGTAAATACAAATCAGGTACATCCCTGGTAAAACACCAGATAATCCCATTTTATTGTGTGTTGTGTTTTTGTTTTATTTATTTTTAGAATAGGACAATCAAGAATTTTGGTAGTGTGCCTCCTCTGGGTTGTATACAATCTATTTTGTGGAATAGAAAAAGTCTGTACCACATAAAAGCCACTATCAGAACTAGGAACTTGGAAGAGTGCTGGGAGTTGTTTAAAAGAATAAAAGAATTCTCAACTAAATGGAATTTAATAAAAATAAAACAAAACAAAAAGAATAAAAGAATTTAACATTTGAATAATATAACTTTCACATATTTTATAAGTACTATAAATGATGTTATAGCTGAGAACATTTTTTTTTAATTTTTATTTATTTATGATAGTCACAGAGAGAGAGAGAGGCAGAGACACAGGCAGAGGGAGAAGCAGGCTCCATGCACCGGAAGCCCGATGTGGGATTCGATCCAGGGTCTCCAGGATCGCGCCCCGGGCCAAAGGCAGGCGCCAAACCGCTGCGCCACCCAGGGATCCCTGAGAACATATTTTTAATCATCTAAGGGTAAGAACAGGCTTTAAAGCAACCGATCAGATATTTCATTAAGAACTCACTTCAGGAAGCCTGAGCATTCCAGGAAATAAAAGACACTAAAGGTTATGTGACCAGCAGAGGGCAGAGATCAGTATAAGTACAGTGTGTGTCATATGACAGTATGTGTTACCTACTCAGTAATCATGGCAAGTAAAGAAGTAGCAGAGACAGGAGAGGACTCCACAATTCTAAACCAACAGAATTCTTAGAAGAAAAAAGTGAATGGTTTGCTAACAAAACAAAGTTGGAAGATGCTAATGCAAGGCGCATGGCTGTCTTGATAGTCCGTTACATTTCTATTGTATATAAAATAAAAGAAGACTTGACAATTTGTATTTTTAAGATTTAAAAGAAAAGACACTACCAGAAAAAAAATCTGTTCCTCTTCAAGTTCTTCCCCTTAAAATGGCCATCTCCACCCTAAAATCAGAAACCAAGCCAATAAGAACCAGCAATAAGAACTAAAATATATGCTGCCAAAACCTTGACTGTAATAATGTTAAATCATATGTAACAATATATTCTATGTAAACTACTAATTGATAAACATGCTGCTCAAGCCAAAAGATTTGCTTCAATGCTTTCCTCCATTTCTGTCCTTTTAAATGACCTTCATGATATGTTTAAATGTTGTTTTAGAATGTTCTGCGTGGAACCAAGTCTGTATTTCATGCTTATCAAGTATAATTGTTTGTTCAGAAATGTTTGGTGCTCCCAAACATTGGGATCTCACTTTATGACACAATTAGAAACTTTTCCTTCTATAAAGTTCTAAACCAAAGCTAAGAATGACCATTTATCATACATGACTAAGAAAATAGATCATCAAATAAAATTATATGATTTAATGTAAGCTGCAGTTTTATTTTGATGTACCAGTCAGGCAATTTTTATCAATTAGTGTTCAAATTAAGAAAACATGAATAATTTAAATATTAATAAATTTAAAATCAAATAGGTGAATATACACATAACTACAAAGTATTTTTGATGTATCTGTAGAATTCTCTAGTCAGCATTTTTTGCGTATGTAATATTAATAAAAAGGATTTTTTTAAAAAAGGATTTTTTTTAACCATACAATGATTCTGGGATTCCCTGAATTTTCAGATGCTGCATTTTCTACTCTACATCTGGCAGGTTCTTCTTCCTTTCAGTTTGTGCATTTCCTGTATTCTAAAAAGTAAATAGAAACAGGACCTTAATTGAGGAAATGGTGAGTCTTTGGCTAAGGAAATATAGCCACAGATAAGCACTTGTACTTTGCACCTGGGGTTTATTTTATATGGGAGACTATTTAGTAAAGTATTCCTCACAATCATCATGAAACAGAATTGAAGGTGGCTCTTGCATGGACTCTTTCCTCTCTTGCCTAACTTCATCAGCAGTAATTTAGGGTTTCTCTTAGATCATATTGTCCATTCAATGTGCGTATACACTAATTGAGCACACATTTAAGATGCCTGAAAGAGTTGAAGATACAACTCGAAGCACTTGGATCTGAGTAGGTAATTCAAAAACAACTCAGTGGCACAGCCAATAGAACAAAAAAGTTGCTATTTCCTATCTCACACTTTTAAAAACATGTCATGTTCCCTTGTGCTCAAAAATAACAAACTACCAACTCAAAATTTAGGACATTTTCTTAATTCTGACACTGATGTATTAAAAATGTCTGGACCAGCCTTACATGCAATTTCACCAGCTTGTCAGAACTGCGCATGAATAGGCAACACGAAGAATCTATGGCTATCTACTACTCCCATAGCCTTATTTCAAGGTCACTTTAAAAAGGTCATCTTTTAAGCAGTTCTACACCACATGAGCAAGACAGGATTTTCCCTTCCAATTTATTTATGTAGGTTGTTTAATGAAAAAAAAAAACTGGGAGAGCTCCTTTCTTCCTGCATTGGAATATATAAATTTAGCTCCAGAAGCTCTCAGATGACAGTAGGATAAACATATGCAAGCACATACTAGGAGCTTAATACACAGATTAGGAGCCTCAATGAGTCAATCACTCAAAATATGTGCAAAGGGTGTGCTGCTCAACATGCTGGGACATCAGTAAGTTGCTCAAGTTTAAAAAAATTTTTTTAAAGATTTTATTTATTTATTCATAGAGACACACACAGAGAGAGAGAGAGGCAGAGACACAGGCAGAGGGAGAAGCAGGCTCCATGCAGGGAGCCCGATGTGGGACTCGATCCCAGGTCTCCAGGATCATGCCCCAGGCTGCAGGCAACCCTAAGCCGCTGCGCCACTGGGGCTGCCCTCAAGTTTAAAAATTTAAAGCGACCTTATTATTTTTTATAATGAACTAAAAGTTGACCATTAATGACTTTCTTTGTTCTGTCTAGAAAATATTTCTTTCCTACAAAGTGGCCTGTGGAGTTCTTAACAAGTTCTAAGCCATAAGCTCTAAGGCATTAAGCATCACTATGCTAATCTTGCTATCTGGTATATGCTAGTTAGCATACCAGATATGCTAATGGTATCTGCTAACTCTTTAATCCAATGACATAGAGATGGAATAGACTTAGTGAAAATGCCTTTTTATATGGTTTTAAAGTTTCTCTACTTTTTCTAATTTCTCCAAATTTCCTTAATAAGCATGTTCTAATTTTATTATGAATAAAAATATAATTAATTTTATTTATAAAATAAGAAACTGATATAATGAAATTGATGACCTTACAGATGTGTAGAATAGAAGGCCATCTATATGCTTTAATTAAGTGGGAGCTGAGCACAATCCCCTTTCCTTAAAAGAAGGTCTTTAGAAAGTATGCATTTGGATACTGAGATTTCCAAGTATTTCCAATAAAATTCAAGACTGGTTGGTGGGGGTTGGGACATTCCAACACAGTTATCTGACAGATGGCTGAGAACAAATCTTTGTGAAGATAGAACAGTAGGTGGACAGCAGAGATAAACTGAAAACAGGAAGAAAGGGGCTAAAGATAAATACCTATGGTCTTGTGGACAGCATAACTCTCTGTTCACACCATTATTTGTTTCCTCTGCCCGATCATATGTAATACACATAATATTTTCCCTGCGAACTATATACTCTAATCATTCAACATTCCAATGAGGGCTGGTATTAACTGCTCTCCAAAAAATAACTTTTAAAAACTCTTACTAATATGCCATTTTAAGAGAAAACAGGTGTTTTTCATGTTCAAAGACTACATCACTTTGTATTTTTATATAACTTTCCAATAGTGATAACTAAATTTACACACCAAGTCAAGGGTTCCAAATTACACTCCATAGTAAAACTATAAACAAAAAAGTTTTACCTCTTGTTTTTCTTGATTTTGATCCACATTAAGTAAAGTTGGTATTTTAGATGAATCTGTTTTCCTTGATTCCCTCTTCAGCACTTTTATCTGTTTAACTTTTACAAAAATATATACAACAACAACTTGTTATTCCTACCTTGAAATTTTACTTTCCTTTTCAAGAGGTTCAAATAGAAATTCCGATATCCACTAAAATCAGTTTCTCAGTTTATTATAAAGGAACTGAATAAATCATTATTTGTAATGTAAAATATGCCAATCATAAATGATCTGTTTTATAACTTTATAAATAGTCTACCAGGTATTAAAAGAAGATATTTTTTTTAAATTCTGCATATAACTGGTAAGTGGATCAGATGAACTGTACAAGTACTATTTTCTTGCTATTATATTAACTTTTCACAAGGTGTCACTGTTCTTCAAAGAAACAAAACATTTACTCTGCAAAAAAAGGAGTTTCATTTTAAGAGCTCAGTACATGTTATAAAGCTTAATTTATATATATATATATATAAAGCTTAATCTACTACATCTTTGGATACCTGAAGTGCATACATCATTCTTGCTATTATCTGGGCAAAAATCATAGGGAAACAAAAGAAATTGATTTACTCCAGGTCATACACCAAACCAAAACCACTTTCCGCAAACACTGTTCTAACATTTCAACAATAATGAGCTAATAAAAAAATCCGCCTTTTAAAGTTTCCCTAATAATTCTTTAAAAATTCTCTCCTTCAAGTCTCCTTATTTGACTATGAGGGAAAAATTCTCCTCAGCTGAAAATATTTTTCAAAGCAATTTGCTATCTTCTATCTAAATCATATCATAAATGTAAGTTGTCTTATTAAAAAAAAGATCTTGTAAATTTGTAAAGCTTGCCAACAAATATGTACCTTCCATTCCTTTCACCTCCTTGGGCTGTATTGTGAAAGGCAGTTCTGGGAAATGGAATTCCTTCCTGTCAGATCTGGAAAAATTCAGCTTTCTTTTGTGTCCATTTGCCATTTGGTCACTTTGACCTGTTCGCTCATTAAATACACTTTTCTCCATTTGGCTCTAAACAAACAAGAGTTAATATGAAAAAATATGTGTAACTTATTTGAATGACAAGCCCAAAACTGCTAGCCATTTGGGAGGTAATAAGATAGGCACAAAACATCTATCTTTGCAGAGTTATTTTAATAATTAAGAAATAGAATACCATTTAAACACATAAACATCAAATTCCAATAAAAGTTTCATGAAACAAACTTTTAAAAATATGTTGGATATTCTGAGAATAATAGTGTTGATCAGGAAAACCACAATCTTAACTTTTAATACATAATCCTATTCATTGCACCCTGATTTTGGACAAATTGCTTCAGTTCATTTTATTTATTTTTCTATTTACAAAACCATGTACTCTGGACACAAGGAGAATCCAGCATTCTAGAATACCTTTAGTATTACCTATTTTTTTAAAGATTTTATTTATTTATTCATGAGAGACAAAAAGAGAGAGACAGAAGCAGAGACACAGGTAGAGAGAGAACAGGCTCCATGCAGGGAGCCTAATGTGGGACTGGATCCCTGGTCTCCAGGATCACACCCTGGGCTGAAGGTGGCGCTAAACCACTGAGCCACCCAGGCTGCCCATGTTACCTATTTTTTACCTATTTTTGGTCATTTGGTAACAGATAATGAAAATTCTCCTAAATTAATAAACATTCTGCCACAATGCAATGTGTAGTATTCCTCTATGTGGATATATATTAATATGCTTAATAAGTCACTTGCTCTTAGATATATTTGTATTGTTCTCAATTTTTATTATTATTATAAATAACATTATGTATCAATTTTGAATAAGCTACTTCCCTATGTAAAAAATGAGAGAATGAACGACACTGATTACATTTTTCTAGTGAAAAGTTTGATGTATCTATTTATCAATTGCCTTTAATCTATAAAATAAGATATTAAAAACATTTTTGGGGGAGTGAAAGACCTAAAAAACTTCTGACTTTTTTTAAGATTCTATTCATTTTTTTTAAAGTAATCTCTATATCCAACATGGGGCTCAAACTCACAATCCTGAGATCAAGGGTTGCATGTTCTTCTGACTGAGCCAGCCAGTGCCCAAGTTTTATAACTTTTAAAGGTCAAAATACTAACTTTTTAAAAAGATTTTATTTATTTAATTATGTATTTATGTATTCATGAGAGACAGAGAGAGAGAGAGAAGCACAAACATAAGCAGAGGGAAAAGTAGGTTCCATGCAGGAAGCCCAATGTGAGACTGGATCCTGGCACTCTGGGATCATGCCCCGAGCCAAAGGCACGCGCTCAACCGCTAAGCCACCCAGGTGTCCCGAAAATCTTAACTTTTTTGGTGCAGGTCAGACATTAAATCCAGAAATCAAATTATAAGAAGTTAACTAAAATTGTGAAAGCAATAAGGAAACAATGGCCTATTTTCACCTCAGGAAAAACAAAAATGCTAAAAGCACATTAAAAAAATTTTTTGAATTTTATTTTAGAGAGAGTGAGAGCAGGGAGGGGGGTAGGGACAGAAAAAGAGAGAAAGAATCTCAAACAGGCTTCACACTCAGTGCAGAGCCCCATGCAGGGCTTGGTATTATGACCCTGAGATCATGACCTGAGCTGAAATCAAGAGTCGAACACTTAATCAATTGAGCCACCTAGGCACTCCTAAAAGCACATTTAAAAAAAATTTTTTTTAAGATTTTATTTCTTTATTCACGAGACACACACACACACACACACACACACACACACAGAGGCAGAGACACAGGCAGAGGGAAAAGCAGGCTCCATGCAGGGAGCCCAACATGGGACTCGATCCTGGGTCTCCAGGATCACATCCTGGGTCGAAGGCAGGCGCTAAACCGCTGAGCCACCCAGGGATCCCAAAGCACATTTTTTTAAATGCAGAAGCCCCAAAGATAGAAGGAAGGATTTGGTGGGGGAAGGAGTCAAGGATAATGTTGAGGGAAGCCATGTTTTAATGACTAGCTTCTTGCCTTACTTGAATGGGACCTGCATCATCCTCTTGCCTGTAATTAGACATAACCTGTCCAATAGATTGTGAAGAGGTACGTCTCTTTTTTGCTCTTTCAGTCAACCTATTATTTAAAAATTAACACAAAGTTATTAGAACTCCCTCAGAAGTACTTCCATTTGGGCTTCAATAATGAGGAAGTTGTATCATGGTAGTCTAAAGTTTGAACAGTGAGTGCCAAAATGCAATTGTGAGTGTGTAACTGCTAATTGCTCTAAGTAGGCAAAAACAGAGCAAAGAACAACTTGCTTATGCTAGCTGTCCTACTTGGGCCCTTGTCTCTATTCTAAATCTGTATCTATCCCACTCTCTCTTTCTCTCTCTCTTTAATTTTTTATTTTATTTTATTTATTTATTCATGAGAGACACAGAGAGAGAGAGGCAGAGACACAGGCAGAGGGAGAAGCAGGCCCCATGCAGGGAGCCTCATGTGGGATTGAATCCTGGGACTCCAGGACCATGCCCTGAGCCCAACCACTGAGCCACTCAGGTGTCCCTCTAATTTTTTAAGTAGTCTCCACACCCAATATGGGGCTTGGAGATTGGGGCTTGGGCCTGAGATTAAGAGTAGTATGCTCCACCAACTGAGCCAGCCAGGTGCCTCTAAATCTGGCTCTCCTAAATATTGGGTTTCTGAATTTCTGAGCTAGCTGTCCAAGGCCGTTGACAACCATGGTTATTGCAACCATGGTGTTGGAATCATCTCAAAAACAAATGGGTTCTTGCTGTCTGTGTAATCTGCTGTACCTCTGAACTAACAGAAATGTCTACTTGCCCATCTCTGCAGGCCTCTCAGCTTCACAACTTATAGCCCAAATCAGTGTGCTATAAGTATTAGTTTAGTATTAGTTTGGGATACTGAACATAGTTTCCTTCCTCATCTAGATTCACAGTAGTTTCCCTAAATTTAGGACTGGCCATGATGCCTTGCTAGATAGACCTTTGCTATATAACACACTGCCCTTGATTAAGCAGACTTGTGGTAACAGTCTTCCAATCTGTATCAGTAGCTAAAACTACAACTGGCCCAATATGTTGTTTTACCCCCCAAATATTTGATCTTTAAAAGTTACTTGAGTATAAAAGATTATTTTCAACTATTCTTTCTCCATTTAGAAAATTTGCTGATACAGACAAAATGCTTACTTTGTTGTACTAAGGCACATCAATGCCAGAACTTAGGTCATATCATCTTTTTCCTCTTCAGATGGGAAGAAATTATTCCGAGAGTCTTTTCCTTCTATGAGGTTTTTCCAAAAGGTATTAGTGAAAAATTAAACATTCTTCTGTAGCATTCTTAAGAAACAGTTCTTAAGCATTAAGAAACAGCATTAAGAAATGCTTCTTGTAAAAAAAAAAAGAAATGCTTCTTGTGTAGCATTTTTAAGAAACAGTAATGGCCCATTATATGATTATAATTTCAATATATCTTCAAATTCAGTTTATATCAGACACTATGAACTTGATTCTCTGAAATACCATTATATGGGAGCATTGTATAACTTGGGTCTATTTCCTTCTATTTTCTGTTATAACTCACCTTGAATTTGGATGGGAAAGATTTAAATTGGGATTTGAAGCCATCAAATTACTGCTAGTTAGATTGATGGGTGGCATCATCATACTACCTCCAGCATGTGGATCGTCTTTCATGCCATTAGAATTAGTGCTGGGATTGACAGGGCTTGGTAGTGGTTCACTGATTACAGGTTTCGTATCTTGAGACATAGAATGAGCATTTTCAACGGCATCCTGTTGACAATGTCCACCTTCACACTCTATCTTGTTTGGTTCTAAGATATCTCCTTTTCCTCCCTTGACTTTAATAACTCTGACTTTGATCTCCTTGGGCTTTTTCTCTCTCTCCATTTCCTGGAATAGAAACATCCAAAATTTGAGTCAGAAGGATAGCCATTTTGGGCAGCCCAGGTGGCTCAGCGGTTTAGCACCGCCTTCAGCCCAGGGCATGATCCTGGAGACCCAGGATCCAGTCCCACAACAGGCTCCCTACATGGAGCCTGCTTCTCCCTCTGCCTGTGTCTTTGCCTCTCTGTGTGTGTGTGTCTCTCATGAATAAATAAATAAAATCTTTAAAAAAAAAAAAGGAGAGTCATTTTTATCATTACAGTGCTAACTAAAATAACGTTATACTGGCTAAAAGAAAACAGTTTTTACCTTTCCCAAAACTGGAGTACTTAGCAGTGTATTGGTATAAGTTGTTTTTCTTTCATCTTTCATAAGCTCATTCTCTTTAGAATTCTCTTTTGGCTTTATGAATGAATTGACTTTTGCTTCTTGCAGTAACTTAGCTCTCAGTTCTGGTATGAATCTGATAAAACAATATCAACCAATATTCTTTTTTATTTATGTAAAGTATTTTATCTCTAAAGGATCATTTAATCAATTAATTTACATATCAGCTAAACATAAATTCTCAATGATGCATGTCAAGAAATGGTATAATACTTAATACAGATTGCTTACTGGTAAACACACAGCTTCCAAAAACTTTGCCACAGGAATTTACTAGATAAAAATTTTACAAAATAGGTTTATATGAATTACATTCCTATGGTAATGCAAACTTTACTTAGTAAAAGTATTATTTTTAATTTTGATAAATATGTTATTCTTTCAAGGAAAACTCAGGCCATTTTGTCCTTTTTGTGTTTTTTTTTAAAGTAGTAATACTTAAAAGATGAACCAATTAGTTTCAGAAATTAATTCTAGAAAAATATTTTTAGTATAAAATGTAAGAGAATACATCAATATTGAAGGGAGATTGTTTTGGTTTTGGTTTGAATTGTTTTCAGTTATTTATTTTTTAATAGAAAATCCATTCACATGGCTCAAAATTCAAAAGGCTGTACTGAAAAGTCTCCTTCCTACCCTGCTCCTGACTTGCACAGTTCCCTTTCCTGAAATAGATATAATTATCCATTTGGGGAAATTTTATATCATATTGTATTGTATTGTACTGTATTGTATGTAAGCTCTACACCCAGTATGGGGCTTGAATTCACCATCCTGAGATTAAGAGTCACATGCTCTACTGACCAATACAGCCAGGTGTCCCCTAGTTCGCGGAAATTTTAAAATATCATTACACGAGTGAATTCTTCCCCAGTTTAGCCCAATCTTGCCAGAGCTGTGCAGGGCACATGTCAAAGTAAAGTGTAGTGTGAAGAGATGAAGAAAATAACCAGTGTGATTTATCTGGCTGAATGAGAACCTATCACAATTCTGTCAAAACTCCCTTGTATTGCAGAAGGTTCTGTGAAAGAGAGAGGTCTCTTATCAAAGGAAAAGGTCTTCCCCCAAACAATTTCTGAGGATTCAATCACTGTAATTCAAGAACTTTCACCCCAACATACTAAAATCCTAGTACCTAACTACCCAAAAGAAATCAACTTGGTCTACATAGAACTGATATAAGCAACTTTTTAATTCAATAACTAGCATTTTTTTCATCAATGGCACTTTCAATATATCTTTTCCTTTTTGTTTCATGTCAAAATTATTTTGTCTTATATTAAAATTCTTAAAGTGACTGAAGTTCTAAGTACTTTAAAGGATTCTCTTTTCTGTGCATTTTTCTATTTTAGTCTGTCTTCAACGGTTGTTCCGGAACTTTTCTGTGCCTAATCTTACGTCCATCACATTTTTATTGGCAAACTGAATTTAAATATTTAAATTTAAATATTTTTTTAAAGTCCATCACATTTTAAATGATGTCCATCTTTTCTGACCTCACATTCAAAGCCCAACTGAATGACTCTGCAATTAAAGAAAACTCTTTTCTATTTCTTTCAAAGCCCAAATAGAAAATGGTGTTTTTTAGAAATATAGCTGATTTTAGGCAAAATACATTAAAAGCCCTGATGTCCATCAATGGATAAATGGATAAAGATGATGTGGTATATATTTAATGGAATATTACTCAGCCATCAAAAAGAATGAAATATTGCCATTTGCAACAACGTAGGTGAAACTAAAGGGTATTATGCTAAGCGAAATTGGTCAGTCAGAGAAAGACAAATACCATATGATTTCACTCATATGTGGAATTTAAGAAAATAGATGAACATAGGAGAAAGGAAGGAAAAATAAAATAAGATAAAAACAGAGAGGCAAACCATAAGAGATTCTTAACTCTAGGAAACAAAATGAGGGTTGCTGGAGGGAAGTGAGGGGGATGGACTAAATGGGTGATGGGCATTAAGGAAGGCACTTATGATGAGCACTGAGTGTAAAATGCAACTGATGAATCACTAAATTCTACCCTTGAAATTAATAATATACCATATGTGAACTAAGTTGAATTTAAATAAATTTTTTTTAAAAATACAGCTGATTTCTATATCTACACTGTCATAATATATTATACATATAATGTGAAACACAGAAGGGCTAGAGGCATGGTCCTCTCTCAAACTTTCACTTTGGTAGGGAAAATATGACAACAAACACTACAACAGAGAGTAAATAAAGCAGAGAAAAAAATCATTTGGGGAATAAATGCCAATTATAACATATAGATCAGAGATGCTATCAGAAAAGGAAAATCTAGACTATTCAGAGGTCCAAATAGAAATAAAGCTAAAAAGTACTGATTGTTTATTTACTATTTTCAGGTTTATGATTACCATTGAAAATGTGTATAAAAAGCTTAGCACACCGCGTAGGACATTGTAACTGTAATGAATGTTAACTACAATTATTTTTATTAGTAGAATTTTCATTAGGACACCTGTAAGTCTGCTGTAGACCTAGTTAGTAGAGGAACTCAGTAAAATTCTTGCTTAAATTGATTTTTTTGTGTGTGTAATATTAACAATTCTCATGCTAGTAGAATTCCCTAACATAAAACACTAAGAAGTCCACACTTCACTTGCTTACTTTTCAATAAATCCATCTCTAGTAAAATACTCATGATGCAAAAGATCAGTAGATGATGTCCTCTCAGCAGGATCAATTTGTAAACAAGCCTAGAAAATGAAAAAAAAAAAAAGATTCTAACATTAAATAAGGTTCTTAACAGGGCTCTATAAGGTAAAAATTAAATTCATTTGACATATGTAGAAGTAAATTATCACCCAGAGTTTAAAAATGATCTTGAAGGGATCCCTGGGTGGCGCAGCGGTTTGGCGCCTGCCTTTGGCCCAGGGCGTGATCCTGGAGACCCAGGATCGAATCCCACATCGGGCTCCCGGTGCATGGAGCCTGCTTCTCCCTCTTCCTATGTCTCTGCGCCTCTCTCTCTCTCTCTCTCTCTCTCTGTGACTATCATAAATAAATAAAAAAAATTTAAAAAAAAGAGCATGCAAACTATATTGTATGTTCTCTTTAAAAAAAAATAATAAAATAAAATAAAAATGATCTTGAAAAGAAGGCTTTAGACCTTAGGAATTTCTGACAGTGAGTTCTGACCACATATTTCCCTAAGAAATTTGTACTGGGTAAAGCATTATTATAGTTCAAATGTCCTATGATTCTAGCCAAAACAGAAGTCAGTCTGTTTCTGTTGGAATTAGCAGAAATTAATTAATTCATTTTGATCCTCGTATCAGCATTGTAAAGTGGAAAGTTCATGGATTATTACTTCCATTCTATAGAGCTAGAAGCATAATCAGTGATTTACTATATGAGAATCTTAACTCATTGTCTGAATCTTAATCAGTGCCTTTTCTTTCTTTTTTTTTTCTTAAATATTTTATTTATCCACGTGAGACAGAGAGAGAGAAAGAGAGAGAGAGAGAGGCAAAGACACAGGCAGAGAGAGAAGCAGGCTCCATGCAGGGAGCCAGACGTGGGACTCAATCCCGGGTCTCCAAGATCACACTCTGGGCAGAAGGCAGCGCTAAACCGCGGAGCCACCTGGGCTGCCCATCAGTGCCTTTTCTATGGCATAACACAACTTCACAAACATTCAAACCCCCGAATCTTTCAATAAACCATTATGAGAACAGCTCTTTTTTGTTTCCCTATCTTGGGAATACTTCAACTGAATAGAGAAACAAACAAACCTACAAAACAAAAACAGATGATGGAAGGATGAGTTTTGAAAACAAGTCAAATATCATAAATTTATATATAATCAAATAACTAGTTATAAATAGAAGATATTTTTAACCAAAATATTAAAGACAGTATTTGAATAAAAGCTATTTATAGTTTTCATTTCTTCCCTTAGAAAAAGGCAAAACATTAAAAAAGGCAAAACATAATAATAATAATAGGTAAGTTTTATTGATGTTTACTATGTGCCACATAACACTCTACCTAGACCTTTCCTTTTTTTTTTCCTTTTTTTTTTTTATCCTTTTCCTATTACTTGACGCCAACAACAACCCTACAAGGTAGGTATTATTATTATTCCCATTGTACAGGTAAGGAGACTGATGCCCAGAGAAATGAAGTTATTTGTCTAGATCTAACAAATAGAAGAGTAGAATTAAAATCCAGAAAATCAATGGTAATTTAATATAATATTACATTTTTGCTTATTTCAAAATGTATATGCTCAAACTGATCCATGAAAAAACTTGCAAAGATCTGCTATACAAAAAAAAGAATATAGCTAATAGTACTGTGCTACACATTTTAAAATTTGGTAAGAGGGTAGATTCATGTTATGTTTTTTACCACAATAATAATACATTGACTCACAAAGCAAAACTGAATGTATTATCTACTTTATGATGGAGGAATACCCTGACTGTTAAGACAGCAACTAACTAAATATATGTGCTTATTTTAGAATATGAGAGTAATCCATCAGTAAAACTTACTAATAAAAATGTCTTAAAAATCTGCTCAAGTCATAGCCTATTAGAGGCAGACAAATGAGTCTTTCTCTGAATAAAATAATTTTAAATTTTAAATCTGGGGCTCCTGGGTGGCTCAGTTGGTTAAGCGTCTGCCTTCAGCTTGGGTCATGGTCCTGGTGTCCTAGGATCAAGCCCCACATCCAGCTCCCTGCTCAGTGGGAAGCCAGCTTCTCCCCCTCTCCACACCCTACGTCCATTTGTGCTTGCTCTTGCTACCTTTCTGTCTCTCAAATAAATAAGTCTTTTTTTAAAAAAAGAAAATTTATATTCATGCCCTAGTTTGGAAAATGTAAAATATGATACTTTGAGAAACAGACTGGCAGTTTCTTTAAAAATTAAATATACACATAGCTTAAACCCACCATTCCACTCTTACTTACTCAGAAGGATAAAAATATACACCTACAAAGACTTGCACATGAATGTTCATAGCACTTGTAACAGACAAAAATAGAAAATAACCCAAAACAGGGAATGGATTAATAAAAATTGTATACATCTGTACAATGGAGTACTATTCAGCAATAAAAAAGAATTCACTATGAAACACACAAAAACATGAATGAATCTCTAAACCATAATGCTGTATCAAAGAGTATATACTATGTAATTTTATATATATATATATAGACACACACACATATCCTAGAAAATGTAAACTAATTTATAGTGATAAAAAGCAACTTAGAGGTTGTCTGGGAACAGAAATGGAGGAAAAGAAGGATTGCAAAAGGATAAGAGGACATTCTGGGGGCATCCTGGGTGGCTCAGTGGTTTAGCACTGCCTTCAGCCCAGGGCCTGACCCTGGAGATGGATCGAGTCCCACATGAGTCCCTGCAGGAAGCCTGCTTCTTTCTCTGCCTGTGTCTCTGCCTTTCTCTCTCTCTCTGTCTCTCACAAATAAAATCTTTTTTTTTTTTTTAAAAAAAGGACATTTTGGAGGGTGATGGAAATGTAAGATATCTTGATTGCGATGGTGGTTTCATAGGTGTATACATCTATCAAAACTCATCAAATTATACATTTTAAGTATGTGTAGTTTAATGTACATAATTACATCACAATAAAGTTATTGAAAGAATTTAAATCTAGGAAATGATACATGCTTTGCCCCAGATATTAAGATGTATTTTAAAGTTAACAATAATCAAACTGATGTTTATACTAGAAAAAAGAAAGAAAGCAATGAAAAAGAAACAGACCCAAGCGTATATAAGCATTTTGTGTATGCTAAATGTGGCATTCTAAGTCACTGGATTATTCAAGGTGAAGAAAATTTTTACAATACACATGACAAAAGACTAATATGCCTATTATTTTACAAATCTATATGAAAAGAGATAGTCTGAGAAATAGTTTAATGATTTTTTAAAGATTTTGTTTATTTATTCATGAGAGACACAGAGAGAAGGCAGAGACATAGAGAGGGAGAAGCAGGCTCCTCGCAGAGAGGCCTATGGGGGACTCAATCCTGGAACCCTGAGATCACGCTCCAAACCAAAGGCAGACACTCAACCACTGAGCCACCCAGGTGTCCCCAGTTTAATGATTCTTAAAATAAGAAATACAAATGGCCAATTAATATTAGTAAAATGTTCAACCTTTCCTGTGATGATATAAGTGCAACTAAAAAAAGGATGCTATTTTAAGCTTCTTAAATTGGCAAATATTTTGAAGCGCCTAGCTGGCTCAACTGGTAGAGTATGGTGACTCTTTTTTTTTTTTTTTTTTTTTTAGTATGGTGACTCTTGCTCTTGGGGTCGTGAGTTTGAGCTCCACGTTGGATATAGAGATTACTTTAAAAAAATTAGAAAATGGGCAGCCCCGGTGGCACAGCGGTTTCGTGCCACCTGCAGCTCAGGGTGTGATCCTGAAGATCCTAGATCGAGTCCCATGTCAGGCTCTCTGTATGATGCCTGCTTATCCTCCCTCTGCCTGTGTCTCCGCCTCTCTCTCTCTCTCTCTCTCTCTCTCTCTCTCTATGAATAAATAAAATCTTTTTTAAAAACTGGAAAATATGTTTAAAATTATAGTATCCAATGTTAGATTGAGAGTGGGAATTTATATCCAGTGTTATTTGAGAGTACTTGAACATAAATCAGTAAAATCTTTCTGGAGGAAAAAATAGCAAAATAGATTTAAAAATTCTGAAAAAGTATAAACACTGTGGCCCACTAATCACAATTCTAGGAATTTATCCTAACAAATAATAAAACAAGTTCAAAAAGACTTATTTAAAAAATGTTCACTAAAGCATCTTTACCAAAAGAGAGAAAACCTGAAAACAAATGTTCAAAATTGTAAATCAGTTAAACTATGGAACAGTCAGGCTATATGATACTATGCAACCATTGAAAATCATGATGTAGTACCATATTCACTGACATGGTTACATAACATAAACAGGTCACATAACTATGTGAAGTATGATATCTTTTAAAAGCATAAATTTCAGGGGGTGGGGAGAAAAAAAGCTTAAATTTCTATGCACATATTTGGTTCACAAAAGTCTAGAAGTATATAAATCAAAATGTCAATAGTAATTTTTCCCAGAGTGTAGGAGTTGGGAAAATCTTAACTTCTTTTTATCATGCATTCTCTACTTTTTCTATAATCATTATGTATTCTTTGTATAATTAAAACTATGATATAAAAAATAAATTCAAATGAAAATGTAGTAAACAAATTTGATTCTTCTACTTTTTAAAAAGATTTTATTTATTTGAGAGAGAGAATGAGAGCGTGAGAAATGAAAGGAGCCTAGGGGGAAGGAGACGTGCAAGTAGACTCTACATTGACTGCAGAGCTGGCTGTGGGGCTCAATCTCAGTACCCTGAGATCATGACCTGAGCCAAAACCAGAGTCAGAAACTCAACCAACACAGCTACCCAGGAGCCCCCCAATTCTTTTTTAAGATTTATTTTATTTTATTTTGTTGGGGGAAATTTTTTTAAATAGCCAAAATTTATTCTCCAACAAAACAGCATCAGCAGGTAAAAATACAGGGGCTTTTCCACAGATCATACATTCACATAGGCATTATTTGCTTAATAGTAAGAAAGGCTCCGGTGTGTTCTCTGTAACAATGTCCACTTCACAGTGTAAACAGGTACTAAACTTTGGGTTCAACTTACAATTCTAGGAAGAAAGGCACAACGTGGCCACAAAATTTGGAGGGATCCTAAAGTCAGGTGCAATAAAACAGACAAAATTTTGATAACAGTCTTGATCTACTTTTCTACAAAGAAGGAGACATCTCCACTCAGAAATTAGTCTTTCTTTCTCCTTCCTTGTTCAACCATTAGAGCATGTTTCATCATTACATATACAAAAAAGGCGGGGTTTTTTTAAAAAAATAATAATATCTTAAGTGAAAATATCTTAAGTGTCCGGCGGCTCCCACCACACATCAAGTCAGGTTTTAAGACAGGGTGTCAGAACACCTCAGCAGTCATAAAATTGGAAAATGGACACTATGGCTACAAAAATAAAAAATAAATGAGGTACATAAATAAAGGGGCACCTGGGTGGCCAGTCAATTAAGTATCTGCCTTAGGCTCAGGTCATGATCTCAGAGTCCTGGGATCAAGCCCCAAGTCAGGCTCTCCGCTCAGTGGGGAGCCTGCTTCTCCCTCTGCCCCTCTCCCCCTACTCATGCACTCTCTCTCTCTCAATCTCTCAAATAAATAAAATCTTTAAAAAACAAAAAAGAAATTGTAAAGTTTCCTACCATGTGAATGTTTCATTAAATTCATTCATTAAAATAATATATTTATTTGAGTGAGAGAGAGCAAGAGTGAGCATGAGTGGGAGGGGCAGAGGGAGAGGGAGAGAGATCTCAAGCAGATTCCTCACTGAGTGCAGAGCCCAGCTCTGGGTTTGATCTCACAATCATGATATCAACGATCTGAGCCAAAATCAATCGTCAGATACTTACCCAATTGAACTATCCAAGTGCCTCCAGAGAGAGAGAGAATCTTAAGTAGACTCCCTGTTGAGGGTGGAGGCCATGATGGGGCTCAATCTCACAACCTTGAGATCATGACCTGAGCCAAAAACAAGAGTCAGACACTCAACTGTGTGAGCTACCTGGGACCCCGACAAATCAGATTATTAATAAACTCTAGTTTTCTCCAGATACCAATGAAATAATTTTTCCCCATTAAGAATGGTCTTTAGAGGGACACCTGGGTGGCTCAGTGGTTGAGCAGATTCTGCCTTTGGCTCAGGTCATGATCCCAGGGTCATGGGATCGAGTCCTACATCAGGCTCCCCACAGGGTGCCTGCTTCTCTCTCTGCCTATGTCTCTGCCTCTCTCTGTGTATCTCTCATGAGTAAATAAATAAAATCTTTAAAAAAAGAAAGAATAGTCTTTAGATGCTACATATTATATGTTTAACAAGTTTACCTAAACAATAACAGCAACAATTAAAATTGACAAAATTTGTCAACAGCTTAATCAAGGCTCTGTGCTCAGAACATTTTCACCATTACTTCATTTAATCCTCCAGCCCCCCAAAATAAAGACTGTTAATGTTGTTTTATAGCCCAGTAAACTGGGTCACAGAAATTAAGTGACTTTCCCAAGGTTACAGAGCTAATTAGTGACAGAGCTGAGTTTTAGTCTATGTGATTCCAGAGCTCCTTCCTATAAACACTACACCATACTTGCTTTGAAATTTAGGTAACCACTTTTTTTAAAGGGCTATACACATCAGAAATAAGATACTTCAGTTGACCTTGGGAAAGGAAATTAGCTAGATAGACAAAATAAATAGAAACACATTACTTTCCACAGTAAATTCTCTTACTTTTTGAATTTTGCACTAAGTATATTACTATCTTTATTACCTAGTTCAAAAAGAAATTTACATTTAAAAATAATTAGCAAGTATTATATATAGTATAATGTTTTTGTTTTCTCCAAATTCAAGGTAAATTTTGGCATTGGTATACCTCAAACAACATTAAAACTGCAGCTGTCAATGCCTAGTAGATCTCTCAGGATACAAGTACACAAGGAACTTGGGTAGACTGGCTATTAAAAGGTAGTGCTAAACATGGTTAAGTCCTTCAAAATCTTCCAATTTATCCCTAATGATCATTAAAATTGGGATAAACTAAAAATAATGGACAGGATCATCCTAGGGAGTTCTCAGTTCTAACAATCTATGAATTTTAATTTTTCTGGACTAAAGACAGAAAGTAGAAATACAGTAACTTTTAAGAGATAATATTAATGAATGTTATTGAATCCTTTTAGAATTTCATTAAAATAATAACTTAAAACTATATTATAATTTATGCAAATTTCCCAGAAATAAGTCCTTAATTCTTAACATACGTCAACTATATCTGCCAACAATCCATTTAGTTTTGGGTATTTTTTTCTTGCATTTTTGGTGTGTTGAACTTGAGGAAGAACCACCCCAGCAAAAATGGGACTCGTGGAAAAGATATTCTGTAAGTGAGGTGTCAAATTGCCTGAAAAAAGAAAAAAATATGAATATAAGAACAGGGAAATTAATCTACAATCAAAATAAACAAGTTACTATGTGGTCTGCATTAAATTACTAAAAAGAAAAAATTACTAAAAAGAGAATAACAATTATGTTCTTTTAATTTTTTTTTTAAGATTTTGTGTATTTATTCACGAGAGACACAGAGAGAGAGAGGCAGAGACATAGGCAGAAGGAGAAGCAGGTTCCATGCAGGGAGCCCATGCGGGACTGAATCCCAGGACTCCAGTATCACGCTGAACCAAAGGCAGAGTATCAACCACTAAGCCACTCAGGCGTCCCATGTTCTTTTAATTTTTAAGGTTGAATAAGAAACTATCTGAATATAGCAAAAAAAATTGGAAGTTTCCCCAGTAATCTCTTTTTTTAAATTTTTATTTATTTATGATAGTCACACAGAGAGAGAGAGAGAGAGAGAGAGAGAGAGAGAGGCAGAGTAGGCAGAGGGAGAAGCAGGCTCCATGCACCGGGAGCCCGACGTGGGATTCGATCCCAGGTCTCCAGGATCGCGCCCTGGGTCGAAGGCAGGTGCCAAACTGCTGCGCCACCCAGGGATCCCCCCAGTAATCTCTTGATAGCATGTAGGCAGTAGAAAATTTAAAACCACCAGGTTCATTTTCATTTCTCCAAATATAAGACATATATAATGTTATCAGGAAAAGCACAAACTCTTACACATTTCTATATGGGTATCTAAATGGTCTAACAAGTCTTTATCAGCAAAGCCTTACTCAAACAGCTTCAAAGCCTTATTCAAACATTATTTAGAAATAGAAATATTACAAAGAAACAAGGCTATAGAGTAGAGGTAGAATAGAAAGAATTGTAGAATAGAAAGAATTGTAAATAGGAATGGAGAGAGCTAAGTCCCAGTGCCAGTTTTGCTACAACTAGTTCTGTGACCCTGGGCAAATTCCTTCCCTCTCTATGCTTCTTCTCTAAGTTTCCTTACCTGGAAAGTGACAGAATTAGTCCCACCTCTAGCATTTTTTCTAACATTACTCTCATAATTAGAACTTTAAAGATAACCAAAAAGGTGTGATGCTTTAAGACTTCAAACTGTATCTTTAATTAATGTTTATCCATACTTCATGATTTTTATAGTCACGTACAGTATCCTCCTCATGATCCTGTAATTACATGTTTATGTATAGTTTCTCTACCACAAAAGGGGCTCCTCAAGGTCATCATTCAGAAATATGTAAAAAAAAAATATTGAAACTCCATGATCAAGGTTATCCAGCAAAATGTTTGGGTAGTCAAAGCAGATCATCAAATAAGCAAAACTGCTCATCAAATGTATTTTTGGATAAGTTATTTAGCTACCTGGATATCCACTGTGGTTTTAAAAAAAAGTTTTCTCATAAGTAACTTTCTTTTTTTTTTTTAATTTTTATTTATTTATGATAGTCACACAGTGAGAGAGAGAGAGGCAGAGACATAGGCAGAGGGAGAAGCAGGTTCCATGCACCGGGAGCCCGACGTGGGATTCGATCCCGGGTCTCCAGGATCGCGCCCTGGGCCAAAGGCAAGCGCCAAACCGCTGCGCCACCCAGGGATCCCCATAAGTAACTTTCTATCTCTAAGTGCTTACAAAAAATCTAGATAAACTCTATTTTTTAAAAGTCCTCTTTGAAGGGTGCCTGGGTTTGCTCAGTTGATTAAGTGCCTGCCTTCAGCTCAGGTCATGATCTCAAAGTCCTGGGATCCAGGCCCACATCAGGCTCCCTGCTCAGCAGGGGGTCTGCTTATCCCTCTCTCTCTCAAATAAATGAATAAATCAAATCTTTTTAAAAATAAAAAATAAAATAAAAGTCCTCTTTGAGAGACGCAAATACTTGTAGAAACCAAAATTTCAAAACAACTTTTAGACAAATTGAAGTGGGTTCCTATGGCACCATTTTTCTTAGTATCAGCCATTATCAAATGACGTAGCTATTTGCAACCTGGCAAAGAAAATATTTACAAAAACGGAGATAAATTTTCTACCTTCTTTATTCCTGCCATATATCAAAACAATGTGCTTCCCTGTTCATGTAAAGAAAAAACTCTGAAACTGAAAATCAAGCACAACTGATATAGCAATATTTACTTTAGGTACGTAACAGTGTATTTCAGTAGTACCTACCTACTTTTAAAACAATTTTATGAAGTAAATCCAAATCAGAACTGCTAGGAAGATAGGGATTTCCAGTGGCCATCTCAATGATCATACAACCCAAAGCCCAGATATCTACAGGTCTGAAACAAACAAGAATAAATACTTTTTTCATAGAGAAATATATAAAATATCTCTAAAAATTTTTAAAGATTTTATTTATTCATTCATGAGAGAGACGGAAAGAGAGAGGCAGAGACATAGGCAGAGGGAGAAGTAGGCTCCACGCAGGGAGCTCGATGTGGGTGGGACTCGATCCCAGGAACCCAGGATCACGCCCTGAGCCAAAGACGGACACTCAATCACTGAACCACCCAGGTACCCCTAAAATTTTTTAAAATAAAGTTCCAGCCAAAGGAAAAAGAACAGTTAGGTAGTCTCATTTATAAATTTTCACTTTAATATCATATGCCAACTTTAGAATATATATATTAAACATTACATCACATTTTACTAATAAAATTAGTTTGTATTTAAATCACATGAGAAGCCATGTAGTAGTCCAGATGAAAAGTAACTATAATTTTAAAATTGTTTCAGAAGGGGGATCCCTGGGTGGCGCAGCGGTTTGGCGCCTGCCTTTGGCCCAGGGCGTGATCCTGGAGACCTGGGATCGAATCCCGCGTCGGGCTCCCGGTGCATGGAGCCTGCTTCTCCCTCTGCCTGTGTCTCTGCCTCTCTCTCTCTCTCTCTCTCTCTCTCTCTCTGTGACTATCATAAATAAATAAAAAAAATTTAAAAAATCTTTAAAAAAATTAAAAATAATATAAAATAAAATTGTTTCAGAAAATAAATGAAAATGAAAACACAACTGTCCAAAACCTTTGGGATGAAGCAAAGGCCATCCTAAGAGAAAAATATACAGCAATACAAGGCTTTCTAAAGGAATAAGGAGGATCTCAAATACACAACCTAACCTTACATCTAAAGGAGCTGGACAAAGAATAGCAAATAAAACCTAAACTAAGCAGGAGAAGATAATTAATAAAGATTAGAGCAGATATCAATAAAATAGAGACCAAAAGAACAATAGAACAGATCAATGAAACCAGGACCTGGTTCTTTGAAAGAATTAATAAGATACGGGTACCTGGGTGGCTCAATGGTTAAGCATCTGCCTTTGGCTCAGCTTGTGATCCCAAGGTCCTGGGATGGAGTCTCACATCAGGCTCCCCAGAGGGAGCCTACCTCCCCCTCTGCCTATGTCTCTGCCTCTCGCTCTCTCTCTCATGAGTAAATAAAAATCTTTAAAAAAAAAAGAATTAATAAGATAAATAAACCCCCTGGCCAGACTTATCAAAAAGTAAACAGAAAGAACCCACATAAATAAAATCATGAATAAAAGAGGAAAGATCACAACCAACTCCAAAGAAACACAAATAATTATAAGAATACATTATGAGCAACGATATGCCAAAAATTAGGGAATTTGGAAGAAATGGATGCATTCCTAGAGACATATGAACTACCAAAACTGAAACAGGAAGAAATAGAAAACCTGAACAGACTCATACCCAGCAAGGAAATCAAAGCAGTAATCAAAAATTTCCCAACAAGAGTCCAGGGCCAGATGGCTTCCCAGGGGAATTCTACCAAACATTAAAAGAAGAATTAATACCTATTCTTCTGAAGCTATCTCAAATTATAGAAATGGAAGGAAAACTTCCAAACTCTTTCTATGAGGCCAGCATTACCTTGATTCCAAAATCAAAGACCCCACCAAAAAGAAGAATTATAGACCAATATTCCTGATGAACATTAATATAAAAATTCCCATCAAGATACTAGCCAACAGGAATCCAATAGGACATTAAAAGGATTATTCACCACAATCAAATTGGATTTATTCCTGGGATGCAAGAGTGGTTCAACATCCACAAATCAATCAATATGATACACTACATTAATAAAAGAAAGGACAAGAATCATATGATCCTCTCAATAGATGCAGAAAAAGTATTTGATAAAGTACAACATCCTTTCTTGATTAAAACTCTTCACAATGTTGAGATAAAGGAAACATAACAGTATCATAAGGCCACCTACAAAAAGCCCATAACAAATATCATCTTCAATAAGGAAAAACTGAGAGCTTTCCCCCTAAGGCCAGGAACATGTCAGGGATGTCCTCTATCACTACCACTGTTCAACATAGTACTAGAAGTCCTAGCCTCAGCAATCAGACAATAAAAAGAAATAAAAGGCAGCCAAATCAGCAAAGAAGTCAAACTCTCACTCTTCGTGGATGACATGATACTAGACGTGGAAAACCCAAAAGATTCCACCTCAAAATTCCTAGAACTCATACAGGAATTTAGCAACGTGGCAGGATATACAATCAATGCATAGAAATTAGTTGCATTTCTACACACTAACAATGAGACAGAAGAGAAATTAAGGAGTCAGTCCCATTTACAACTGCATCAAAAACCATATGATACCTAGGAAAAAACCTAACCAAAGAGGCAAAGGATCTGTACTTAAAAAACTATAGAAGACTCATGAAGGAAAGTGAGGAAGCTAAATTTAAAAATTAAAAAAAAAAGCGGGGGGGGGTAGTGCCTGGGTGGCTCAGCGGTTGAGCATCTGCTGTCCTGGGATTGAGTTCTGCATTGGGCTTCTTGCTCAGCAGGGAGACTGCTTCTCCCTCTGCTTGCTGCTCCACTTCCTTGTGCTCTCTGACAAATAAATCAATAAAATCTTTTTTTTAAGATTTTATTTATTCATGAGACAGAGAGAGAGTGAGAGAGAGAGGCAGAGACACAGGCAGAGGGCAAAGCAGGTTCCGTGCAGGGATCCTCATGTGGGACTTGATCCCGGGTCTCCAGGATCATGCCCTGGGCTGAAGGCAGCGCTAAACCACTGAGCCACCTGGGCTGCCCTAAAATCTTTAAAACAATAAAAGAAAATAAATAAAAAGTAAAAATTAAAAATCTTAAATTTTTTACCACTTACATTTATTTTTTAAATTACTTTATTTAAAGTAGGCTCCATGCTTAATGTGGGGCTTAAACTATGACCCTAAGATCAAAAGTCACATGCTCTGAGCCAGCCAGGCACCTATATTTATTTAAGGTATTGTGAGTCTTCCATAATTCCGACTTTTTTCCCCACATAATCAGTTTTTTAAAAGATAATTTAAATTACTAGGACTTTTAAATATTTTATTTTGGGGGATGCTTGGGTGGATCAGTGGTTGAATGTCTGTCTTCAGTACAGGTCGTGATCCCAGGCTCCTGGAATCGAGTTCCACATTGGGCTCCCCATGTGGAGCCTGCCTTTCCCTCCGCCTGTGTCTCTCTCTCTTTCTGTGTCTCTCATGAGTAAATAAATAAAGATTTTATTTTTTTAAAGTAACTTCTACACCCAACATAGAGCTCAAACTTAACAACCCCGAGATCAAGCATCACATGCTCCAATGACTAAGCCAGCCAGGCACCCACTAGGACTTTTTAAAAAGATTAATTTATCTGAGACAGTGAGTGGACTAGAGCAGGGAGAGGGAGAGGAAGAGAGAATCTCAAAGAGACTCTGCACTGAGCAGAGAGCCTGACACAGGGCTCAATCCCAGGACCCCAAGAACACAACCTGAGCCAAAACCAAGAGTCAGATGCTCAATCCACTAAGCCACCCAGGCACCACCCCAGTAGGAATTTTATACAGATAAAAAGTAGCCCAATCTCACATGCAGAAGAAATATAAACATTACAATGAGATAGATCGTTCAATGATGCAACTGATAAAAATTGTAAGAATCAATAACTGCTATAATGGTGAAGCCATGAAAAATGAACACTCGTGTACCATCCTGGGAGTGTAAATCACAAAACTACTTTGAAGGGAAAATTGGCAAAAGCTACCAAAATTAAAAATGTACCTACTTTTGGCCAAACAACTTTATTCCTAGAAATTTATCCAAAGATCTACTAACATGCACAAAAATAAATGATATGACAATTTCACTGAAGCACTGTTTGTGGTAGAAAATAATTGGAAACAACCTAAATATCCATCAATGTGAGAATGACTATGTAATATTTTGTACAATAAATGAAATATTATTCAGGTATTAAAAAAGAAGGTATATGCCAATATAAATTTATCTCCAAGGTGAACCCTCAAGTGAAAAAAGTAAAATTCACTGAACAATTCCAAGAAAATGTATATAGAGAGATATTGCATGTTCATGAATAGGAAGACTCAATATTGTCAAAATGTCCGCTCTTTCCAACTTGATCTAGAGATTCAATGCAAACCCAGTCAAAATACAATTTGGATATCAACAAATTGATTCTAAAGTTTATATTGTTAAAAAAGAGACCATAGGCCCAAAATGGAGTCACTTGTGCTAAGCCCACATCACCAAACTGAGACTTAATACTTAATTTAGGGGTGCTTGGGTGACTCAGTCCATCAACTAACTCTTGATTTTGGCTTGGGTCATGATCTCTGGGTCATGGAATTGAGACCCACTTCTGGCTGTGTATTCAGTACAGTCTGCTTAAAATTCTCTCTCTCAGGGTGCCTGGGAGGCTCAGTTGGTTAAGCATCTGATTCTTGATTTTGGCTCAGGTCATGATCTCAAGGTTGTGGGATGGAGCCCCACTTCAGGCTCCTCATTAAGCAGGGAGTCTGCTTGAGATTCTCTTCCTCTCCTCCTGCTCCTATTCTCTCTCTCAAATAAATAAATCTTAAAAAAAAAAAAAAAGGAAAAGAGGAATGCCTGGCTGGCTCAGTGGTTGAGCATCTGCCTTCAGCTCAGGGAGTGATCCTGGGGTCCAGGGATTAAGTCCCACATCAGGCTCCCCGAGAGAAGCCTGCTTCTCCCTCTGCCTATGACTCTGCCTCTGTGTGTCTCTCATAATAAATAAATAAAATGTTAAAAAAAAAGAAAAAGAAAAAAAGAAAAATTCTCTCTGCCCCTCCCCCAGCTCATGCACATGCTCCCTCTCAAATAAGTAAATAAATAAATAAATGCTTTAAAAAAATACTTAATCAGTTTCAACTTCTTCCAGAAGTGGACTCTTATACCAGTCAATCTGGAATTACATGATCAGCACTAGTGAGGTAAACTGACAGAACC